GACTAAACTGCTGACCCTTCAAGGAAGTACAGGATCTTTCAAGCTATGGATTCAAAGAAAAAGGAGGGAATCTCTTGAGCACAACTCCCAAATGTTAAAATTAGGGATGATCTAAAGAGAAGGTCCAAATAATAAAATCTTGAATCTAGTAACCATCCTAACAGGGGGATTTCCCAGATGAATTGGGAACTGTCAATTCTAGAGAATCAGAATCAAGGAGTAGTTTGAGTGGTACTGTGACATAAATTGCCTACAAGTTACAATATTGCAGCAGGAGATGAATGCTGGGGTTACTCTGTCTCATCCACAGATCACCTGCATTAAAGCATTGGTATAGGGCGGCCACCAGCAGTATCAGAAATGATATTGTCAAAGGGATGGTTAAAGAGATGCCTTCTTAAAAGGGCAACTGAATTGGATGTTTAGTGGTATCCTCAGCTTCCCAGACATGTAACCAAACTCCCCGTACACATGTGGGCAAGCCCTTACCCCTACATGAGAGACAAGCTCAGAGGCTTGCAGAAGGCCATGACAACTGAAAGAGAACTCTAGACATCTGTTCCAAAAGCTCCAGGACACAAGGGTCTGACCTGGTGCTGGAGGGGCCCCTTTTAAGGGATGATCTTATATGGCAGGGGCTCTTGACTCCATTGGTTGTTTCCAGTCTTTGAAGAACATTTTAAATACTGACTGTATTAGGAACTTGGCAACCATAACATACCCATAAGACTCTATGCCTGGAACAGCGGATACTCCAACTGCATGGTAGAATGCACTCTATCAATCAGGTTAAAACAACTGAAAATCCTAGTCTCTTCAGGAGTAGACTTGTAAGTACTCTAAATCAGAGATGGTAATAGCGACCTCAGGCACTCCTAGAGATTGAGGCCCAGTAAGGTCAGAATTAGATTCTGCTATGGATGGTGCCAGAGAAGTCTTGAAACCTCTGCAAGCAACCTGCTTCATTAAGTGAGCACAAATATCCTAATAGAATATAGGCGGTTTTTTGGGGCAATCAGATGCAGCTAGGTTTGGACACTGTCCCTAACTGCAGGTACCGCGCTTGGTGTGTGCCTACATGGAGACAGTGATGGCTTCCATTAGCATGTCATTATTTTGTACAGGCAGCGCATCTGCCACTATGCTTGTGCACATGTCATTTCAGCCACAAGAATCCGCTGACTCTTACCGCTTGAATCCATTAAATGCGGGTAGATGTCTGTGTGAAGGAGGCCTAAAGATACCGAAAAATTGCTTCTAGAAGCAGTAGTGGAGTATAGGCAGAGGTCAACTGTAGCAGCAGAACTGTGTGTCCTTGAAAAGACATGTTACATTGTAAAGCATAAAAAAACTAGGACTAAAATGAGGCAAGGCCTCATGTACTCACAAACACAGGCAGCAGATGCTGGTCCCAGGTGGCTGAAGGTCACCAAGTCACTGAATGCAGGCAGTGTTACTACAACAGGTGATCCATGAAGTGCTTTAGAAGCAGGTTATACAAAAAGATGGCAACTATTCCAATTTATAACTAGCCTTTGCAGTAAAGGTTCCCATGGAAGGGCAATGAACACAGACAAAAATTCCCAGCACACTTAAGTTAGTCCGCAACCCCCCCCCCAAAAAAAACCCCAAATTGACCCTGTCAAACAAAGTTAAAAACGTAGGTTCTAGTTGCACACATTTGCAAATATATGTGGAAGTCACAATGCCTATGTCAGGGCTCCTATGTGTACTGTGGTCTAACTAACTTAGCAGTGGATAAATTAGGGCAGGTTTGCCTGGAGGGAGACCACTCCTCCTCAAAGGCACAGGGACATATTGCGGATGCCCAGCTAGAGCCAATTGAGGCTAGATATACATTGGGGTGGTTACCATCTTTTTTTTTTTTTGTATAGCTTGTTCACTAGATTTGGCATGGGGACACACTGGATTCCTCCAGCCACCATTGGGCTCCAGTTGGGCAATGTGTCCCTGTACCTTTGAGGAGGAGTTAGCTCCCTCCAAGGAAACCTGCCCTTAATTTATACACTGCTACATATGCTCCAACTTGAAGACTCAAAAATATAGAGTTAAGACTGCTGTACACATAGGAGTCCTGACACAGACATTGCAGCTTCCACATACATTTTCAAATCTGTGCACCTTAAACATCTGTTTTTAGAGTGAATTGTTAGACAGGATCAATTTGTTTTGTCTTTTTTTTTACAGGCTAGTTGGCAAGTGTGCCGGGAATTCTTTGTCTGTGTTGTAATTCAGAAGCAGGATCCGCAGCCGGATAGTGGTTTTTTAGGCGGGAAAATCGTGATGTGCATGTGTACAGCACTCCTAATTTATGACATCAGTGTTCAGTGGCCTCAGCCTTAATTGTTACCAGGTTAGAAAGGCAAAGGAGGGAGAATTTTTAAAATGGTGTCCAACGAAACCAGCTGTGAGGTAGCTCCCGAAGCTTCAGCCAGACCAGTCTTACTATGAGGTCCTGTACCATGACTCTGGACTTGGAGATTGCTCTACAGCTAACTAACCAAGTACACAAAGTGCCATAATGCAAAGCCCAATGCCTGAAGGTCACATTCCAAGGCAGCCAAGCAATCTTTAGTCCAGCAGGGTCCAGACATAGCCTTCAAAGCTGTTACTGAAAATATGCTGATCCTGATAAATGCTTTGTAGAGCACCTATGTCAAGTAGTGTAAATGAAGTGTTGACTGAAGACACAGTATCATAATTGATGAAGAAAAAAACGAAAGCCTAAAAAATATAGTTAGAATGTTTTGAAGCAGAGATGAGGAAAAAAAACACATCTCTCCTAGGACCCTAGACAAAAAACTGAAATGTCACTGTTAAGAGGTGGGGTTATAATACAGGGGCTAGCTTAACGTTTTGCCAGTGACCGAACCTCCTGATGGCAGCAGTATAACCTGATACTTTGTGAATTTATATGATTCCAGTGTCTCTTAATGTTCCATACCAATGTCCTAATCACCAAAATACCAATGCCCTGATTACCGCCATATGCCATACCAGCACCCTGATCACTGCCATACCAGCGTTCTGATCACCGCCATACCCAATACCAGTGTCCTGATCACCGCCATACTGCATACCATTGTCCTGATCAATGCCATACCCCATACCAGGGTTCTCATCAATGCCATACATCATACCAGCATTTTAGGGTCTCAACAGATCAATTTTCAGATATATACATCCCATAGTTTGCAGGCTCTATAAAACGTTCATACAGCATAAATAATATACACTGCTTTGGGTTTTGTACCCCAAAAATGCAGCATAATACATTTTGGCCTAGATTAATGAAGAAAGATTACACTGTTCAACAGGTAAAAAGTTTTGGGCATAAAATTAGCTAATCTTACATAATTTTGGGGTGCTGAAAACGAAAATGACCCTAAAAAATGTTGATTGGCTCTAGTTTCCATGATATATTCACCCATCTAATGACGTAAGCCATTCAAAATTATGATGCAACTTCAGCTGCATATTGCACAATTGATACTGGTGACCAATAGAAAATTGCATGTATACTGAGATGATGCAATATTAGCCTTTAATTGCATCACTTCACTGCATAAAAGCTGCAGTATCTGTAGCTGATTGTAGTTCGACAGCATCTTTACATTTCGTTTTATGCTTATATAGGCTACTCAGTAATGCCTCGAACTTGTGTGAATAAAGCAGATAATTTCTGCTATATCTGCGGTGAAATAATTTTTATCTCACAAAAAAGGAGGATAACAGGAATGATTAAGAAAGCCTACAACTTGTATTTTGGCTGCAAGATAGGAGACCAGGACAAGAGCTGGGCACCACATATATGCTGCAATTCTTGTGGGACGGCACTGGAGCAATGGTTGAATGGAAAAAAGGCATCTATGCCTTTCGCTGTGCCAATGATTTGGAGAGAGCCAACAGATCATGTTAGTAATTGTTACTTTTGTATGGTGCCTCCAATTGTAAAAGGGCTAAATAAGAAGAAAAAGTTATCTGTGCACTATCCAAATATTCCATAGGCAATACGTCCAGTTCCTCATGGAGAGGGGCTACCAATTCCTAAAGCACCAGAATCCTTCGTGGTTGAGTCAAGTGAGGAAGAACCTGAAGCGTGTAGTCACGTGCAGTTGTAAGAGATAGCCCTTTCCTCGAATACAAGAGAAAAGCCAAGAGAAGCAAAACCGACACAAACTGAAGACAAAACTAGTGAGAATCCTAAGTATTAAAATGATTCAACTTAGCTTATGGCTATAATTTTTCTTGGTAATCCTATGCAATATATTATGCCATTTAGGCTTTGTTATGTAGTCAATATCACTTGCTTTATATTTGTGGAAAGACATCTATCTATATAATTATTGTGCATTATGTAGTCATTACGCCTATAGTAGAAAACTTTCCGTTTACAGAAAAACTAGAGCCAATTGACAAATTTCATTGTTATATTTGAACTCAGAATGTGAAATTCATTAAGAAATGGATCCTTTTGTTTCCCAAAACTGGCAAAAAATAAAAATTTGTTGAACAGTGTTATTTGCAACATTTTATAACAAAAACTAAGCAAAAAAATGTTTGTCATTTTCTGTATTTTTCATTCATATTGCAAAAATTAAAACAAAAACCAAAAAAAGTGGTGATTAAATACCACCAAAAGAAAGCCATCTCAAAAAAAGTATAAAAACTTCATATGGGTACAGTGTTGCATGCCCATGTAATTGTCACTCAATGTGTGACAAAGCAAAAAGCTAAAAATTGGCCTGGATTGGAAGGGGGGTTAAAGTGTCCAGACTTGAAGTGGTTAATGTCCATTGACTAACAAAAGTGCTGCTGTACCTACCTCCCCTGCTACATCATAAAATGTTAAAGCACAACTTATATTGAAGAAGAAAAAAGAAAAGTTACTGCCTCTACATGGGAGCTGACCTTTTACTTCTTGGTTCAGATGTGACATGTTGGGGACGTAAGACCACACAGTTTCCAATTTTTAAAATTCATAAACATCTCCTCCGGGGCATTAGTGCACAGGCACTGCTGAATACTAGATTTTTACCAGCTGGGTTGCAAAGAGTGTGAAAGGACATGGTTGTCAGAGAAGGTATGTAGAGAAATGCGTTAGTGGGGTGGAGGTGGTTGGGTGTGTAGCTGTGTGTCCTGAGATAGCAAGGGCAGATTTTTTTTTTTTTTTTCAAAATGGTGAACTTGTCCTTCAATTTTTTAGGAAGCCAAGTCCAAGTAAACCAGGTAATACAGCACATCACTCCTTGTGCACAACAGATAATAATATGAACAATTACCTCATACAACAGACATCCTAATGACCAAATATCAGATTTGAAGTTGTATCCGTTTTCATGTATCCTTTCTGGTGACATGTAATAGGGGGTACCAACTGTGAACAAGGAAAATAAAGAAAAATCACTGAGCAAAATATTGTTAGTAAAAGACAATGTAAGAAAATGTAGAATACAGTTGTGGCCAAAATTATTCAACCCCCACTGAAATTGAGTGTTTTGGCCAGTTTGACATTGCTTTTTGATCATTCAGTCATCTTGCTTACATTTACATTAAAGAGGCACTTGTAGGTCAGACAAATATAACATAACAGTTATAATGAAATAACCACAAATGTCTTTTCTGTGCTCACAGCAATTATCAGTTTAATTCAACCCCCAAGTGACATTCAATCTTAGTACTTAGTACAGCATCCTTTTACAGTTATAACAGCTTTTAAACGTGAAGCATAGCTTGACACAAGTGTCTTGCAGCGATCTAACGGGTATCTTCGCCCATTCTTCATGGGCAAAGGCCTCCAGTTCAGTCACATTCTTAGGCTTGCGCACTGCAACTGCTTTCTTTAAGTCCCACAGAGGTTCTCAATCGGATTTAAGTCTGGTGACTGCGATGGCCACTCCAAAATGTTCCAGCCTTTCCTCTGCAACCATGCTCTAGTGGACTTGGAGGTATGCTTGGGATCATTGTCCTGTTGAAAGGTCCAACGTCTCCCAAGCCTCAGGTGTGTGACGGACTGCATCACGTTTCCATCCAATATCTCCTGGTACTGAAGAGAATTCATGGTACCTTGCACACGCTGAAGCTTCCCTGTACCTGCAGAAGCAAAACAGCGCCCCAAAGCATGATTGACCCTCCACCATGCTTCACAGTAGGCAAGGTGTTCTTTTCATCATAGGCCTTGTTCTTCCTCCTCCAAACATAGCGTTGATCCATGGGCCCAAACAGTTCTAATTTTGTTTCATCAGTCCACAGAACACTATCCCACAACTTTTTGGGTTGTCCACATGGCTTTTGGCATACTGCAGTCGACTCTTCTTATTCTTTGGAGACAGCAAGGGGGTACGCCTGGGAGTTCTGGCACGGAGGCCTTCATTACGCAGTGTGCGTCTTATTGTCTGGGCTGAAACTTCTGTACCCACATCTGACAAATCTTTTCTCAGTTCCTCAGCAGTCACACGGGGACTTCTCTCCACTCTACGCTTCAGGTAGCGCACAGCAGTCGAAGTCAGCATCTTCTTTCTGCCACGACCAGGTAGCGTTTCAACAGTGCCCTTTGCCTTGAATTTGCGAATGATGCTTCCTAAGGTGTCTCTTGGTATGTTTAACATCTTTGCAATCTTCTTATAGCCATTGCCCTTCCTGTGAAGAGAAAAATCACCTCTTCTCTTGTCTTCCTGGACCATTCTCTTGCCTTCACCATGTTTGTAACCACACCAGTAAATGTCTAGAAGGGCGAGCTGAGTATCACAGTCATTTTAAAGCTGCCTAATTGGTGCTTATTATGCTTGATTGCTGCTCGGTGACATCCACAGGTGTTTTCAATACCTGATGGAAAGCACCTGTATGAACCTCTGTTCTTCAGAGTGGTAGTCTTTAAGGGGTTGAATAATTGTGGCAATGAAGAAACCACATAAGAACCATTTACTACTGTATTACATAAACAATTGATGTCATTTTAGTTGCATTTGGGTAGTTACAACGTCCTTGTAGGATTTGATTCTGAATACAATTCCAAATGTACACTATAGTCCCTAAACCCCTTTACAGCATTGGGGGTTGAATAATTTTGGACACAACTGTATATTTTATCTATAAACCTGTTGCTGTCTAGGCACTTGGTTCACATTCACCTCTGAATCACTTCCATCTTTACAGCTTGTGCACCCTGCTGAATTATTATATGCAGTTCCACAAGAGATAATGCCACACAGCGTGTCAAAAAAATCAGATGGGTTATTAGAACTTAGAAGTTACAATATTAACAGTGGTGTATGATCACCCTTCTGCTCCACACCGCTATACTTATTCATAAGGATTATTGTAAATAATAATTAAACCCCTCAACCAAGCACTTTGGCGTGAAACATGTCAAAATGTTCATATGCCATAGTTACTACTATGATCTTTGATTTCTAACAAACCTGATCTTCAGTTAAAGAGGATCACAGACAACTTTCCACTGTGCTTGGTGAATAGTCCCGTAGCCTTCAGGGATCTGTGACATGTCCCAGAAGGCACTGGGAAAAGGTTTGGGGGGAAAAGCGTGAACTTCTGCTAGGATTGCCTAGGCGATCCGAGTGGAAGTGGGAACAGTACCTGGCAAAACTAGGCTCCCCCCCAAAAAAATAAGTGTATCCAAAAGTGATTGAGAAGAGGAGGAGGCAGAAAAGCAGAACTTCTTCTTTGGAGGAAGTTCCACTTTAAAGGATAAATTAATCTTTTAAGAAAAAATTATAAAAAGTGCATTTTTTTCCCCTACAGGAGGCTGGAAAGCATTGCACCTCTGTTCAGTGGATCAGGGGTGCAATGGTCATGCTCCTACAGACAAGACCTACAGCTTTCTTCCCGTACCTTCCTATAGACTGTCAAAAGCTGCAGAGCTTGTGAAAGAACTACGAGAGCGCACATCAGCACCCTCGCAGTTCATTGAGAACTACAAGCTGTCAGCTGCAGTGGCTCAGGGTAGTTGTAGTTCATTCATTCACACTAAACTGTGAACAAATGATGTGGCCGTGTGGGGGTGAAGCCCTGTACAGCCGAGCTGTTTTTAAATTGTGAAAGCGGGTGCGGTGTCACACAGGGATCAAGGGAGCTGGTGGCAGGAGCTGGAAAACGGTACATGTCCCACCCTATGCTCCAAAAGGTGAACTTCTCCCTTAAAGCAAACAAATAAAATCAATTGAGACCAATACTGATAATAATTACAGCACAGAAATTATAGTCTGCATATTTTGCTTGCTGATATTCTCTTGCATATATCTATTGTATTACACAAATACATTAAGATATCTTGGCCAAAACAACTCATAGTTGAGTGCATATTAGACATGTACAAATTAAAGCGGTAGTAAACTGCAAAAAAAAATAAATCTAAAAAAAATCTCTCTGTAAGTGAAGAGCATAATGTTCTAGTATGCATCGTATACTAGCACATTATGAAAGATTTACGTAAAAAAAAAGCCCTCCAGCGAGCGCGGTCACGGCTCCCTGAGGCGTCCGTCGTCACATGGTCTTCCTTCCGGGTTAGCAGGCAGTAGCAGTTTTACTGGCCGAGCCACGATGACGGCACTGCCGTGCATGCACTTGGGAGTTTTGGCCATAGCACACTGTTCATTGAGAGCGCGCAGTGCGCATGTGCCGGTGACATCATCGGCACTGCTACAGTAAATATCTCCTAAACGGTGCACATTTAGCAGGTATTTAAAGTACCTACAGGTAAGCCTTATCTCTTTTGCAGCCAGGTCTGTACAATGTCACACAGCAGGGGGTTTTACACACAATCCAGTGGCTGCAGCCACCAGGATCGTGTCTAAGGCTCCATGCACACTGGGCGCTTTAATAATGCTGGTAACATTAGCTGTGTAAAGTCACATTAAAAACTTGTTTTTCAGTGGTTTTTAGCATTTTTGTATTAGCGTTTAGTGGTATTTTGCAGTGTTTTTTTAGTTTTGACAAAAAAATTAAAAAATTTTTTTGTTCAAAAAAAGTCCAAAAACGCTGGTTTGCCGCGTTTTACTGCGTAAGAACTTGTTTACATCTAAAAAAACTTCTCTAGAAACCCACTAGTTCAGGGGTTTTTTTTCCAGCCAAAAAATGTTGATTACAGTCTAGGTGTGCATGGACACTTAGGATAACATGCTGGGGGGTTTACTGGCTGTACAAAAAAACGTCAAAAGCCAAAAACAGCAGCTGTAAAAAATGTCCAGTGTGCATGAGGACTAAAACGGACAGGCTCCTAGAGCCCAGAGGAGACATGCAGGGTCTTTTAGACAAGTTTGTTGCCATTTCACAGGCACACACAAATTTAAGGTTTGACATGTTGGATATCTATTTACCCAGTGCATCCTCATCTTTATATTTTACCAAAAATGTGGGTGATGTAGTGTGTTTGTTCGCTCTACAATTCACTTTAGTGTGTTTTTTTTTTTACTGAAAATTTCCATTTCCTAAACTTTTGTGGTAATATTGTGTGACATAAAAAATTAGAACTACCACTATTTTATTCTCTAGGGTGTCTGCTTTCAGAAAATATATAAAGTTCGGGGGTTTGTTTAATCTTCAGGACCAAAATGTTTTTTTTAAACGTGTGCAAAAAAATGCAAAAACTTATCTGGCAGTGAAAGGGTTAAAGGCTTACCTGCCTTTAAACACAAAATGATAAAATATTCAAAATTTATTTTTATTAATACCCACAACAGGAGTTTTTTATATATATATACACACACACACACACACACACACACACACACACACACACACACACATATATATAAATATATAAGCAGGGGCCTGCTATTCAAGCAGTAATGCACCATCATTGAAATTAACCCACAAGCATATTCCACATTTATGTATTTATGTAAATGATTAAAACAAGCTGGCACAATTGTCTTGCAAACTTACAAAAAGCTACTGCTTACAAAACTGTGTCATCTGTTAGAGTCCAGTGGCTGTACAGACTGTTTTTTGCTTGTAATTTCAATTCTACCGGATAACTAACAGTCACACATGGGAAGTATAGATCTGCAAAAACTTGCATTTCCACTGGTGCAGGACGCCAATAATTACAAGACCTGAAGTGGTGATGTACAAGGAAATACAAACTGTATTGTACTCCCTATATAGTTCTGTATCTATCAGCTGGAGGTAAAAGTATGTCCAATTGTGCAGAGAAATGACCAAGTGCACATATTATTATTATTATTATTATTATTATACAGTATTTATAAAGCGCCAATAGTTTGCTCAGCGCTGTACATTACAAAGGGGGACAGAACATGTGACAGAACAATACCAATACAATGCAAAACATCGAGGATCGAGGGCCCTGCTCTTTCGAGCTTACAATCTAGGAGGGAGGGGATAGTGGTACAGGAG